TTGGCATAGTCCTTGGGATCTTGGGTTGTTCGGCTTTGAGTTGCAGGTGTTAGGGTCGAGGGGTTTAGGGACTTAGAGTTTAGACCTCAACTCTGAACCATGAAAACAATAAAACCCTAGAACCACCCGAAACCCTAAACCCAAACACCAAACCCCAAACCCGAAACCCCAAACCCTAAACCCCAAACCCTAAACCCCAAACCCTAAACCCCAAACCCTAAACCCTAAACCCCAAACCCTAAACCCTAAACCCCAAACCCTAAACCCCAAACCCTAAACCCCTAAACCCTAAACCCCAAACCCTAAACGCTAAAAACCCCAAAACCCAAAACCCTAAACCCTAAACCCCAAACCCTAAACCCCCCAAAGCCGAAACCCAAAACCCTAAACCCCAAGCCCCAAACCCTAAACCCTAAACCCCAAACCCCCCAAACCCTAAACCCCAAACCTAAACCTAAAAACCCTAAACCCTAAACCCTAAACCCTAAACCCTAAACCCAAACCCTAAACCCTAAACCCTAAACCCCAACCCTAAACCCAAACCCTAAACCCCAAACCAACCCTAAACCCCAAAACCCTAAACCCCCAAACCCCAAACCCTAAACCCCAAACCCTAAACCCCAAACCCTAAACCCCAAACCCTAAACCCCAAACCCTAAACCCTAAACCCCAAACCCCAAACCCTAAACCCTACAAACCACTTCCCCTCCCCAGCGCCGGCCACGCAACGGAGATGTGGCTTTCGAAGTGGGGGCCCCCAGATTCCTTCCAAGTAGGGCTTAGGGTTTAGGGTTTTGGGGTTTAGGGTTTAGGGTTTAGGGTTTAGGGTGTAGCAGTCGTCAGCTGTACGCAATTGTACGCAATTGTGCGCAGACATTCCCACCCCAAGACCACCCAAACACTACTCAAAACGAGACAAACCAGAGCCAGCCAAACCCAAGCCAGCCCATATCCAAACACTTCTGCATTCAACGCTGTACTTCGGACTAACATCTAGCACGCTTCCTTATGTCATGGGGCTTGATGCCTTGTGGCAAGGTGACATCTGAGAAGATGCCTGGGAAAAGATGTTAGATTTCGAGCTTTCGAGAGAGACATTGGGAGACGTTTTCGCCGGAGGGCCTTCTCATTGTTCCATTCTGAACGTCGGGGTATCAAGGCTGCATGCGAAAGGCTTGTTGCTATAAACACGCCTTGTGAAAGTCATGTCTAGAAGCTTGCGAGAGCCAAATTAGCGTTTGCGTTGGGGGGTGTCTTCGGCCGGATCATTGTTTCTGTTCTCGACGTCGGGATGTCATGGTGTTACTGTAAACAGGCTTTGTGAAAGTCATGTCTAGAAGCTCACCAGAGCCAAATCAGCGTTTGCGTTGGGGGGTGTCTTCGGCCGGAGGGCCTTCTCATTGTTTTTCAAGGCTACATGGCGAAAGACCGACCCTGCGAAGGACATATCAATGAAGCCTGCAGCCCAGATCTTTGCAGCCTCAGGAGTGCCTCTACTTTGCCCTTTTTAACCCCTATGTGGACCTCATTGTCGTCCTTATGTACCTAAGGTACCCCCCTCACAACCCCTAAATAGTCCCTTGTACCCTAAAGCCTAAGCCCTAAACCCTAAACCCTAACCCGAAACCCTAAACCCTAAACCCTAAACCCTAAACCCTAAACCCTAAACCCTAAACCCTAAACCCTAAACCCTAAACCCTAAACCCTAAACCCTAAACCCTAAACCCCAGCCCTAAACCCTAAGCCCTAAGCCCCAAGCCCTGAGCCCTAAGCCCTCAGCCCTAAACCCTAAGGTCCCTTGGAAGGATCCTCCTTGAGTCCCTTTTGATAGAAGGTCCCTTCGGCTCCTCCTGTTTCTGCGCGACCCTGCGGAGAGCCGACATCACCTCTGCCTGCCGGTTTAGGGTTTAGGGTTCAGGGTTTAGGGTTTGGGTTTAGGGTTTAGGGTTCAGGGGTTTAGGGTTTAGGGTTTAGGTTTAGGGGCTTAGGGGTTTAGGGGTTTAGGGTTTAGGTTTAGGGTTCAGGGAATCGGGTTTCGGGTTTAGGGCTTAGGGTTGAGGATTCGGGTTTAGGTTTGGGGCCAAAACTTGGGGTTTAGGGTTGAGAGTGTGGGGTTTAGGGTCTTGGGCTTGGGAGTTAGTGTTTTTGTCTGATAAGCCGAGGCACAGATGCGCCACAGCGCAATTCTTGTCTAAATGGGGGCCTGAATAATTAGAATAGGTTTGGTGGATTATGATAGTACAACTATAAAAGGGAATAATATTAGCAAATATTCCGACCCCAAGTTGCTCTTCGAAACAGTCGGTAACACTTGTGGGACAAAGGGTAGGTTCTGACGAACTACCCCTATAGTCGTCCCTGAACACTTAAGCGGTATTGCAGGAACCCTGACATGGGTACCCCCAAGTTACAGGAACCCTTCAGGTAGTCGAGGGCCCTAAGCCCCTGAATCCCTAAACCCCAAAAACCCTAATATTGTACCCTCAAACCCCTGAACCAGCCCCTAACCCACTAAACCCCTAAACCCCTAAACTCCTAAACCCACTAATACCCTAAACCCACTAAACCCACTAAACCCACTAAACCCCCTAAACCCACTAAACCCACTAAACCCCCTAAACCCCTAAACCCCCTAAACCGCCTAAACCCCCTAAACCCCCTAAACCCACTAAACCCCTAAACCCACTAAACCCCCTAAACCCCCTAAACCCTCTAAACCCCTAACCCCCTAAACCCCCTAAACCCACTAAACCCACTAAACCCACTAAACCCCTAACCCCCTAAACCCCTAAACCCCGAAACCCACTAAACCCACTAAACCCACCAAACCCCTAATCCCCTAAACCCCCTAAACCCCTAAACCCCTAAACCCCTAAACCCCTAACCCCTAACCCTAACCCCCAAACCCCTAAACCCCTAAACCCCTAAACCCCTAAACCCCGAAACCCACTAAACCCACTAAACCCCTAAACCCACTAAACCCCTAAACCCCTAAACCCCTAAACCCCTAAACCCCTAAACCCCCTAAACCCACTAAACCCCTAAACCTTAAACCCTAGCCCTAAACCCTAAACCCTAAACCCTAAACCCTAAACCCTAAACCCCTCTAAACCCCTGGCTCTCGCTTTCGGGGCGCCTGCTGGTCTACCGTGCTGGCGTCGGAGGCCAGCTCCACCTTGGTAACTTGAAAACCTTCAAGGGTGCTTATAAGTGGGGTTTAGGGTTTAGGGTTTAGGGTTTAGGGTTTAGGGTTTAGGGTTTAGGGTTTAGGGTTTAGGGTTTAGGGTTTAGGGTTTAGGGTTTAGGGTTTAGGGTTTAGGGTTTAGGGAAAACCTTCAAGGGTACTTATAAGTGGGGCTATATGTACCCTGAATAAGGTAGACATACCTACCCTACTTAGAACTCTACTTATTAGTAACCTTGAACCTCCAAGTAGGGTTCGGGGTTTCGAGTTCGGGGATTTGGGCCTCTTTGGGAAATAGACCCGACGCCCTACGCCCTATGACTGACCGAAACTTGAAGATTCTCAATATTTTCATGTTGTTGTTTTTAATGGGGGGTGGGGGGGGGGGGTTAGGGTGTAGGGTTTAGGGTTCAGGGTTCAGGGGTTCAGGGTTTGGGGTTTAGGGTTTAGGGTTTTGGGCTTAGGGCTTAGAGCTTAAGTTTAGGGTTTAGGGTTTAGGGTTTAGGGTTTAGCTTGGATTTGTTTTAGGTTTGCCGGGTGGTTTGCATCTTTTGGGGTTTAGAGGGCGGGGGAGCCCGCGCAAGCCCGCTCAAACCCCGAATTTCTCTAAACCCTAAACCCTTAAACCCTGAGCCCTTGAACCCTAAACCCTTAAACCCTGAATCCAAAACCCCAAACCCCCAACCCCTCAAAAACCCTAAACCCAACACACCCTAAACCCGGTTTTAACGCCCTCAACCCCTAGACCCCAAACCCTAAACCCCTAGACCCTAAACCCTTAAACCCTAAACCCTAAACCCTAAACCCGATTTTAACTGCGGGGCGAAGCCGCGTCCTTGTAGTCTTCGACCTCCGCCCTGAGGTAAGTGGACTGGTCCTACGAAACAGACGAGGCATCAGTTGGGTTTAGGGTTTGGGGTTTAGGGTTTGGGGTTTAGGGTTTGGGCCGGTTTGGGGTTTAGGGTTTGGGGTTTAGGGTTTAGGGTTAGGGTAGGGTTTGGGGGTTTGGGGTGCTGATCTCAAGAACTCTCAGATCGGCTATGCCCCCAGAAGCCAACACCCCCCAAACAGTCCGGAACCCTCAAAAAAAAACAGCCGAAAATATAATCCTAACACCCTAAACCCTAAACCCGAAACCCTAAACTCTAAACCAAAAAGGTTTTCTTCATCGGAACACCCCAAGGAGCCGACATTGAGCCCCCCCTATTCTCATAGCGAAGCTTCGATTTGTAGGGGTCCTAAACCCCTAAATCCCTAAAACCCAAAAAACCAAAACTGAAAAAACACACACACCACACACCACCCACCAAAAAGATCGAAAGCCCTAAAAAAAAACTTCCGGGCTCTTCCAGGCAGCCGGGCTCAGAACCCTTAATTCTGGAACCCTAAGATAAAACTGGCAGAGCAAAGAGGTTATGGCGTGCACTAAAGCAACGCACAACTTTTACTTGAGCCAAAATGGTTGATAAGTTCGGATGCTAATTTTAGCATGCCGTGTGAAACATCCTCTGCGTGTGCACTCCTGGCGTGTTGCTAAGAGAGCGTTGGAATGTCTAGGGCTACAGTATGCCTACTGCAGACTGCCTACTGCCAGAGCGTTGCCGCTACTGGCACTTGCATCTTCAACAGGCCCTGATGCCCCTATAATTCCTTCTCCCCCTTCTCACGTGCAAGCGTCAGGCCTAAACCCTAACGGTTTGAGTCTCAAGAGCGTTGCCGCTTCAAGAGAAGACGGTGCCTAATTACACCAGGCTGCTGCCTGCAACAGCTTGGGCGGCATTGCTGCCTTGCCAAGCGCAAGCAAAAGTGCAAAGCATTACTCCATTTGGAGTAGCTGGAGTGCCGCAGGAAACTTTGCTGGAGCCAGAGCCTTCGTAAAGATATCGGCGCGCTGCTTATCTGTGTTTATGTACGTCAAGCGCACATACGGGTCCTCATAGACTTCATACAGGGATGACAGATCAATCCTGTGAGTCTTACTCACGTGCCGAAGTTTTGGGCTGTAGCCTGCATGGACTATCTGTATGACTGCCGAGTTATCCTGATGACACTGCAATAGCACCTCTCGGCCAAAGACCTTTTCCATGAACTGTTGCATGGGTAGTGCTTCCCCGAACACTCCAGGGCTCAGTGAAATGATCTCGGCCTCAGTGGTTGATCTGCTGGTCGCCGTCTGCTTTTTGCTGGCCCAGCACAGTGGCCAGAAGGAGTGTTCCCCTTCTATACAGAGTATCATCCCGGACGTGCTGTGAGCATGTTCTACATCAGAAGCGTGGTCGGCGTCCGTGTACAGGCTAAGTTTGAGGTTTTCTGGTTCATCGCCCATGGTGTGGGTGATAGAGAGCTCAGGCGTTGAATGGAGATAGCACATCAAACGAAAAAGCCGTTTGTCGTCCGCAATGCTCCAGCAAGTGACTCGACGGGTAAGGTCTGACAGAGGTTTCATCACGTCAGGGCGTGATAAGCGTGCGAGCCACAGGCTCTTCATCAACACTCTGCTGGCAGCATCTGACAGCTGCCCCCTTGTTTCCCAGTCGCTTGTAAGCAGAGAACCTTCAGCAACAAAGGGCGTTGCCGCCTCTTTGAGCTTCCGGCCCGACAGTTGCTCATATAAGTCACAAGCATTTCGGCAGTAGTCAGACATGTCATATGTCATGACTGTGTTGCCTTCGCGCTGGTAGACGTGCTTCCGCCCTAACACCCTGTCTACTTCACTTGGCGGTTCAATATCTAGGTGCTTTTGGAGCTCTTCCCAGAATGCAGCTTGAGTATCTTTGGGCCCACTTAAAACTATGTCGTCAACGTACAGCGTTAGTAGCTGCCTAGTCTTGGGGAACCAGAATGACGATTGGAACAGTTCAGAGTGTTCACCTCCCATCAAACTCATTACCTGCTTGAACCTTTCGTGCCAATGAAATCCAGATTCTGGGTGCCCGTAAAGGGACTTCCAGAGTCTGACGCAGGGGCGCTCTATTCCTCGGAACTCCGGCGGTGTAAGCTCTCGCGGGAGTTCGACCCACGTGGGAACTTTCGTGTTTAAATCTGATTGCGTGTAGGCCTTAACCACATCAGATTGTGACGAACAGTGACCTTTGATGGCTCCGTAAGCAAGGTTGAAGTTAATACCTACTATTCCAGTGGGATTCACTTTTAGTTCTTGCAGGATTGCCAGGTTGTTCGCTTCATCTCTAATGTCGTCGCCTCTGAAAACGATTCGAGCCTTTAGCTTTCGCAACTCTGGCGTTTCAAAGTGCTTTATGCTCAAGATAGTCATGAGGCGGCCAATATTGAGGGGTTCTTTTCTAGCCAACAAATCCCTGCGTGAAACTACTTCCCTGTAGTCCCAAGTGCCGTTGGATATCAAACCCTTGGCCTCTCCGTCTATGCATTCCTGAGCACCTGCGTGTTTGCCCCAATCCTTTCTATCTATCAAGTGGTGGATGCCAGCGTAAATCATCTCTTGGTCCTTCGGGGGAGTCCTAGGGACATGGCAGTGTGGAGAAGACGGCATGACTGGCATTGCTGCCACTTGTGAGGAGAGGTGCGGGTACAAGCTGTGCACAATGGTTGTGGCCATAGACCTGGTGTATTTGGCAGTTTTTGCAGTTTTGCTTCCCTCAATGGTGCTGTGCTGAAAGCCCGGCGGGTGTTGACAGCGCTTGGTGTTCAAGTTGTCGGCAAGTTTCCAGCAGGAGGTAACAACCCTCCAGGGCTTCTTGTGCGGCGTCCCTTCATCATCCATCAGGCCATGAGCGCATCCATGCGTTACCGCAGTGAACAAGCCATGCTTCTGGATGAACTGGGTAAGCTCGGGTAGAGCCCAACCGCTGCAGCCTTGAGGCCACTCGAAACTTACATGCCCCCCTTGAGCTAAGACAACTTCCGCGACGCTTATGAAGTTCTTCAAGATTCTCCTTGAGCGTTGCCGCTTCTTTCGGAGTTTCTCTCGGAAGCCATTTCCCAAGCGTGCGATGTTGAGGTGCTGCAGTTGACTCCATGGGCCGCAAGGTATGCTGCCCCATAAGTCACAACCAGGAAAGAGCTGGACAAGCTTCTTTAAAGACTCCGTCTGCTTTGGACACGACATGTCCGAGCTGCTTTCTGTCAAACGGAAGTGGTTGATTTCGTTCTCCTCATTCACCTGGCCTAACATTGAATCAGGCTCGCAGCAAAACTCAAACAAAGTGGCATCCTCGGCACGTCTGTTGCGTTTGACCTTGGTCTGAGAACTCGCGCTGGTAGGGGCCGAGTCCCCAGTCAAAGTTGAGCCAAAGCTTGGGACTGCTTTTGGGTCTAAGGCTTCTAGATCGTGGAGGATTGCTGCTACCGCTTGCGCACCTTTGAGGGGTGAGCGTTTGAGTTGCTCTTCTGCGTTGGCCTTCATCGTGTCAAGCTTGGCTTGGTTTGGGTCAATCTCCTTCTTTGGGAAAAACCATGTGGCCCCTACCCAACTTTTAGAGGAAATGCGTCTATTCGGGCTCTTGTCTTGCCAGTCGTCGGAGAAAGTAGACAATTTGCCGCGGCATTTCCACTCTGTCTCTCGGGCAGAAGACAAAAGATGGAAATCAAAAGGACAATGTCGGCCTACAGGGGTGTACAAACGTTTTCGGGGCTTGACATGCACTCGTTTCCATGCCATGCGCTTGGAATCAAAATCCCAGTAGTCTAGATCAGCCCCTTTGACGCCTTGCTTCGTCTCATCTGGGCAAGTCGCCTCACGAGATGGTTGCAGCGGCGCGGCTGGGGCAACACTATCAGAAGCAGGACGCGCGGCGTCGGCCTTTGCTTTGGCCTTAGCCTTCAGCGCAGCGGCCTCGTCTTCTAAAAGCTTCCGAAACCGTTCATGGCACGCATCATTGTGTGGCACGCCTTCTGCTATCCTATCACAGCCCTTGCACCCAAGAGTTACGCCGAAACGAAGGGCCCTTTCCAATGTCACATATGTCTTGCGTTTGCGAACTTTGGGTTCCGGGGCTCCTTTTTCAAAAGGCAAAGCTTCTCGAGCGTCAAGCATGGGCATTGCTGCCTCTGACTTGAAAAGGGAAAGTTTCTCAACCTGAGCCTCGTGCAATGGAAACACAAAAGAATCAGGCACAACCAACTCTGACGCGTACACTTGGATCGGTCTTCCGCAACCCCTTTCATCTTTGCGTAGCGAGTCGTAGTCAAGCACCAAGTGAACTCCACGAAACTTGTAGCCTGCGTCCAAACGCCATCCGCAAAAGATCCCAGGGAACGTCCTAGGGTCAAAAGCTGGCAAATCGTGGTGTTGAGGAGGCTTGTAGTACACTAAGGCCCCTAAAGGGATTCTATGGCCCTCAAAAGGTTCACCTTTGTTGGCCACCTCATATACCCTCCTTGAACTCCTTGGAGGCTTCTGTTTCGTTTGGGTGCACTGGCGCGAGGGTTGTAAACGACCTAGCGACGCAAAAATATTCTATCGATCGCGGCCATAGGTTGTGTCCGAAGCCAGCCTTCAGGTGGACGGCTCTGGTACCCTCTTTTATTGTCCTGATGGCTCGCTCGAGTTGTGAGTTGTGAAAAAGGTCATGGGGTACGCCTGGATCCGGCAGCCAGCTCAATGCCTTCACTGCGTCGACGAGCTCGGAAGCTGCATCCGACTTGACCACGCATAGCGCTTTTCCATGGGCCCTGGTGCCACCAAATTTTCGCAACACTGAGACGTTCTGATCTGTGCTTCTATTGGTTTGTGGAAAAGCCCCGTAGCAACCGCTATAGTCGTCATAAGCAATCAAGCAGGCCTGCTCTCCCTCCGAGCCTTTTGTTAAATCTTGACCGAGAATGATGTGGTCTGCCCGGAGCCTGTGCCCATAGTGCAAGGGAGGAGTGTCATCAGGATCGGGCCCTTCGTCCTTCCTACTTCTATGGACTTTAGCAGTCATTTTGGCACGCTTGCAAATGTCACAGTACCGGTTTTTGGGATAATGTGTCAATTGATGCGCTAAGCTCTTTGATGCTGCTATGAGCCTCTCTCGCAGGGAAGGGGTCCATTCAGGGTGCTCTTCGGCATCTTCCTCATCCAATGGTTCATCTCCTCCACCCGGGATTGGCTCAGCACAGGCTGTGAGTTCATCCTCTTCCCCAAAACGCGGCAGGGAGCTATCCGGTTTCAACCTTAAGCATTCCGCATCTGCCTTGCCAGACTCTACAGGCTTATCCCGTGTAGGCGCCTTGGGCCCGGAGGCCTCATCAGGCATTCTTATGGGGAATTCAGGACGTGATTCTTTCGCCGCTACTCTCCTAAGATGGCGCGGGGCTAAATCACTCGATGAACTGGCCGGTTCTGATGGAGCAGCCATGAGCGTTTCCGCTTCTGGCTTGACAGCGCGTCCACAAGCGGGCAAGGCAGAACACGAGACGGATTCTCTCAGGACGGGCACGTTTTCTTCAATGCGATCTGCATAGATCTTTGCTGATTCAGGGCAGAAAAAGGTGACATCCTGGACTCTGTCAGCTTTCACGAAGAAAGGGAGTTGGTCAGGAAACCATATCCACGGGCGCTTGTGTTCATTCACCTGGATGCCTACACTCAGAGCTGGAGGACAATCCTTTAGGGAGTAGAACACATTGTCACCTGAAAGGTCTCCTTTCATCCTCACTGCTTGGGAGCCTGTACGGGTGCCCCCTCCAGTTGAGAACTGCAACTTTTCCGGTGCCTTGGAAAACATCTCATGGGTCTCTTCAGGCAAATGTTTCTTGGAAATGAGATTCCTACCGGCGCCGCTATCTAAGAGAAAGTCCATGTTTAGGGGCTTAGTCTGGTTCATGGTGCACACACCTGCCATTCCAGTGGCATTCCCACCCGGGTCAAGGCACGCCATAGCCGTCATGACTGTCGTGAATGCCCTAGCAAAGAAGCTGCCTTTTGGGAGCACACTTTGCCTAGACCCTTCACCCTGCCAGCTAAACCCTGAACGCGCTTCGGGGACTCCTGCTCTGAAGGGCATGCGTTGCCGCATTGCCACTCTTCTACGCAAGAACCCTTTGCGGTTGGAAGCGCGCTTGCCATGGCAACACCTGCCGCGACTGTTGCTGCACCTGCAGAAGCCTTGATGCCCCTGGGCTTAGGCCCTTTGTACAGGTTGTTCTTATCGTGGATATACTCACACGCATTTCCATGAGTGCAACAGTCATACGCAAAGAACATGCATGGCAACTTGGCTTTTTCCTCTTTGGCGCGTGGCGACTTTGGCTTATCCTTTCCTTTGCCTTTGCCTTTTGCAGGAGCGGCGGGAGCAGGCGTTGCCGCCTCGCTCGTTGCCACTGTTGCTGCTGCTCGCGCTTTCTCCTTCGTTTCTTTTTCCTTCTCCTTCTTCTTCGCTTTCTCCCGCTCCTTCTTTTCTTTTGCTTTGTCTTGCTCGCTCTTATCCCCATTGTTTGGCTTTGCTTTTTCTTTCGCCTGGGCTTTTGGCGCCGCATTTGCTGCAACACGATTGTTACCTCCTGCTAGGGCCTTACTAATGGACGCCGTGTTTTCCTCTAACTGGGCAATGTCGACAACATCCACCATCTTACCGTATAACCACTCCCACGTCCTCTTGCTAGAGGAACTGCTCGAGTTGCGGAAACGGTCGATGTGAAGGCTCATCAGGGGGCGCCCTTTGAGGTTTTCAAACAAAAGGGACCGAACAGCATTGTCACTGGGCCTCTCTGATGGCTCCAACGCTTCCCACACAAAGTCAAAACGTTGCCTGAACTCTATCAGACCCTTGACCTCCGAACCCTGCACTGTAAGCGACAACAGGTGATGTTGCGTGAGGGCGGTACCACGATCCTTTTCCAAACGAAACCGCTGGAACACAACCCACAAAAGCAACCTCCCTTTGGGCTGTTTGCCGTGCTTCTGGGCTTTCTCTTGAAGGGACTGAAACTCCATAGAGAACTTGGTGCCCCGAGCATGTTCCAACATACGGTGGCCAAGGATTCGATCAAGTAGAGGATAATGTCCGGAGTCATCAAACGAGGATGCGCATGTTGCATCATTGCATTTGGAAATCCAAGCCAACAAAGGGGTTTCATTACCTTTGGCTAGCTTCGTCACTGCGCTATACAGGTGATTCCTAAACCCCCTAAATTCAGATGCGGACTTCGGGAGCGCCGCAATCTTCAGTGAGTCGTACTGCTTGGTTCTCATAAGCTTTCGTTCCTTCTTGTATACCCCATCTGAGCCCGAGCTAGACGACGATGAGCTGGATCTTTTGCCGGTTTCCGAGGCGTTGCCGCCTTTCCTCCCTTTACCCGAACCTGATCCACTCGAGTCTGAGCCTGACGAGTCCGAGGGGGGGCCTGGAGGCTTTGCAATCGCTGATCCCGGATCCGAACCCGCAACACTACTTGACCTCAAATACCCCCTTGATGTGGCGCCTGCACCCTTGAGGCTTGCCGGAGGGGCGTTGCCGCCGCCAGCCGGGCTACCTCCAGAGATTGAAGCGACAACGTTGGCAAGGGAGGTGATTTGTGCCGTGATCACGTCCAATTGCCCCTGAATCCCTGGGTCTATTTGGGCCCTGGGAGTGCTGATGGCATAAATGTCGGGCACTGGAGGTAAATTGCCACAACTGGTTTTGGTTTCGGGGCCACCTGTGCCCTCATTTGGGGGCCTCTTCGGGGGGTCAAAGGTGGTCCTAAAAGCAAAACCGCCGGGCGTCTTAGGAACCTCAGGGCTACCAAGGGGCATTGGAGGCTTCACTAAGGGAATTGCGTTGGTTGATGATGTGGCCTCAGTCCCTTGATGTTTCCCTGGGGCCGTTCCCGTACCATTACTAGGGCTCATAGCTTGCGACCTTTCGCTCTCCAATCTGTGAATGATATCCTTCTGAAGCTCAAGAACGCCCATGAGCGACTGCACTTGATCCTGCAACCTCTGAAAATCCCCTTGAGCGAAAGTCAACATGTGTTCGCTTTGCTCCTGGGACTTCCTAGCCTCTGCCGCAACTTGCCTCGCCCTTTCAACCTCCCTTTCAGCTAAAGCCCTTGATTGATCAACCTCCTGCGAAGCCCGCTGCAACACTTCATATGTGTGCCTACGGACCTCTTCTTGAGCAGAGGCTCGGGTAGCTTCAATTTCGCGGGATGCTTGACTGTAGACTTCTTGAGTTTGTCTACGGGCGAGGTTTACTTCAGCAGCAGCCTGAGCTACTATCACGGGATCTGCTGTCACGCTTAGGTTTGCTTGATTGAGCTGGAGGTGTTGGCGAATACTCCGATTGTCTTGCAAGTCCTGTCTCACAAAAGTGTTCTCAACATTCTCATGGCGATGAAGGTGCAGCGTTTGGCTTAAGACTTGAGTGACAGGTTGCATCACGGAATCGCTGGAGGATGATTCGGGTACCGGGGTTGATTCAGGAGGGGATCCCAGGAAACTTGAAAGATGCATCGGACTGGGCGTTGCCGCCTCTGTCCCACGTGCCTCCGTACGCGTTGCGGGAACCAACCTATCCTCCGGGGAATTTACAACCCCTGAACCCGATCCGGAGTGCCCTGAACGGGACCTGGCATCAAAGTCCGACATTAGCACTGCCAAAGTCTAGACCTTTCTTCGCGCAAGAACCTGATCAGTGATCCTTTGGCGTCCTCAAGAAATTGCACCTCTTCGATGCCCTCAGAACACCCAGGCTTGTTGCGCAACTTGATGTGCAAAGGAATTCCAGCCCACTGCTCCCAAACCTCCTCGCAGATGCCCTGATCGTCGTCAGCTAAGAGTGTTTGGTTGGGGGCGTCGAACGCCTTCAATACTGCAGCTTTACCGTTCCAGCCGCGTTTGGACGGAGTAATGATGACCGAATCCAGGAGGCCACTGAGCTCTGGCGTCGCGTACAAGGTATCCAAGAGCTCCTGCCTTCTTTCAGGCTTCACCAAGAAACTCAGCAGATGCAACTGAAGCCCTCTAGGCTTGTTAGCCCTCAGGTCCTGGAGCAATGCAATGTTGGCGGACGGAATCCTCCCCAAGTGTTCAGTTGTGCCCTCGCGTGCCCTCGACAATGTCTGATAATTGTCGATGAACAAAAACCGATCCACAGATGAGTCCTTCCGCAACACTGCCTGCGTTTGCCAACGACCGCTGTCCCAAATGAGAATCTCCACGCCGTCGGGGAGCCAAATGTTGACTGGCCTCAGGTCCGCAGTTCGCGGCTTTGGCCTTGCCTTTGGGGGCGGTGTTATGCCCCTCCGGGGACTTCGCTCCCGTGCACCAGCAGCTGAGGAAGACGATGCGACAACCCTGATCTCTAGATCGCTAGACCCCTCGTCCTCCGGCTCGTTGATTCCCTCTTCTATTGGAGTGCCTGGCTCCAGCAGATCAGGATTACCGATAGCGCTTTCGATGTCCTTCCCAAGGCGATCTGCCGCGCGCAGAACTTGTTCCAGTGGGACGCCCCCGTCTATAATGGACTGAAGGCCACGACAAATGCGCTTCTTCTTGGTTTTACCTGCAGAGCCACCTTTGTTCACGGATACCCTGTCCCAAAGCTCGCGAGCAAAGTCTGCTTCAGGAGGGTATGGCCACCTGGCCCCTGCAATACCTTCAGCCGTTCTTGAAGGAAGAGTTTGATTGGGAGCTAAGCCGCAGGCGAACCTACGGCTGATAACCAGATAAAACTTGCAGAGCAAAGAGGTTATGGCGTGCACTAAAGCAACGCACAACTTTTACTTGAGCCAAAATGGTTGATAAGTTCGGATGCTAATTTTAGCATGCCGTGTGAAACATCCTCTGCGTGTGCACTCCTGGCGTGTTGCTAAGAGAGCGTTGGAATGTCTAGGGCTACAGTATGCCTACTGCAGACTGCCTACTGCCAGAGCGTTGCCGCTACTGGCACTTGCATCTTCAACAGGCCCTGATGCCCCTATAATTCCTTCTCCCTAAACCCTAAACCCTAAACCTAAAACCCGAAACCCTAAACCCTCAACCCTAAACCCTAAACCCTAAACCCTAAGCCTAAGGGGGTGTAGGAGTCTCTGGGTCCTCCCAGGCGGCCGGGTTCAGAACGCTTAGGATGCGCGCGCGGCCCAAGACGCGGTGGCTGCAGACCTTCGTCCCAGAGTTTCGGGTTTAGGGCTTGGGGGGTTTGGGGTTTAGGGTTTAGGGTTTAGGGTTTTAGGGTTTAGGGTTTAGGGTTTGGGGCTTAGGAGTTCGGGGTTTGGGGTTTAGGGTTTAGGGTTTTTAGGGCGCAGCAACTGCCCTCAGCTACTTCGAAAGACGGCATACAAAGCAGCTGCAATCTGAACGAGATCGTGCCAAGGATGGTGCTTCGTTGCGTAAAAGCCTTCGTACTCACATCAGCCCAAGCAAGAACTCCCGGAGGGGTTTGCGTAGGACGCTCACCACTGAAACCTTTGCAACTGGGTCAAGGGTTCAAAGCAGTTTTTCGTGGCTCTGCCAGCTTTTGCCTCAACCCTCAACCCTGATCCCTTAACCTTTTAGGTATGGGCCCTTGATGTGGGTCCTTTGTTTTAGAATCCTTGTATGCACTGAAAGGGCTTTGTTGGGCTTTGGGGTTCTGAGGTCTTTTTGGCTAGGGCTTGCGATCCTCGGCGCTTGCGGGCCTTCGGGTTTGAAGGCTTTAGGGCTTTGGGCCTGATAAAAGGGGGCTAGGGGTTTTGGGTTTGGAGGGCGGGGGGGGGCGGGCAGGTTCTTGGGGCTTGGGCCATCGGATTTCACATGCCCAGAAGAGCAGCTTGGGGTAGCTTCGGGAGTGTGGGGTCCGAGAAGCTAAGCATGCTTGGAAGGTGGGTTTGGCAATGAGGCTACACAGTAACCCTAAACCCTAAACCCTCAACCCTAAACCCTAAACCCTAAACCCTAAACCCTAAACCCCAAACCCTAAACCCTGGTTTTTTGTGTGCACAAGATTCGACAGCTCAGGCCCCCGCGTACTTCACCGCATCGTCGGACTCCTCCGACACATCCGTCAGGTCGTCCAGGTAGAAGACTACACCCACCTGCAGACACGGCTGTGCTGTCAAAAGAAAAGGAAGCACCTACAGTGCTGAGGATCTGGACCTCAAAGCAGGCTGCAGGAGATCAGCTCAGGTACACAGCTGCGCGAGCTTGTGTCCTGCATTAGTTCGCTTGCAGTTCTAGCGCCCACTTTGGCACGCTCCTGCAGCAATACTGTGCTTCAACCCCAAACCCTAAACCCTAAACCCTAAGCCCTAAACCCCAAACCCTAAACCCTTGCCTCGGCAAAGCGATCCTCGTTTTCTGGGTCAGAAGCCACGACCTCCGCTCGAGCAGAATGTCTTTGGTCCCTTGATGTGGGAATTTAGGGTTTCGGGTTTAGGGTTTGGGGTTTAGGGTTTAGGGTTTGGGGTTTGGGGTTTAGGGTCTGGGGCTTAGGGTTTAGTGTTTAGGGTTTAGGCCTAAGGGATTCTTGTGTGTAGGGCAACTATGGTTACAACCTTCTTCGCTATCAGAATGATGTCCCTATCATACGGCGCCAAATAATTAGGGTACCCCAAAAGGATCATAATTTTGACAACCACCCCCATGAACCTTCAAGTAAAGTGTTCTCATGTGTGTCGGGTTGAAGGTGCAGGGCAGGGATCCGCCCGCTCTACTCAAAACCTAAACCCTAAACCCTAAACCCTACATCCCGCCTGGCTAATGGTACATGGCACAATTTTAAACCCCTTCGTAGAAGAACACACCCTAGAATTCGAAGAATTAAAGGAATTCATCCTCAGCTGGAATGCCGCCGACCACCGCCTCCGAGAGGCAAGCCGGGATCTCCTTTTGGAGAGCACGAAGAGTGTCCCCACAAGGGAGGGTGTCACATTGATAGGCCCAGGGGAGTCAATGCTCGTAGGACCTCTCGTAGGTGCTACAGGCAATGGCAGCAGGCCTGCAAAAACACAAAGGCTCTGAGGGCGGACTCCTCAGCAGCCACACCCCCCCAGTCCACAAAAGCCCCCCAAAACAGGGCACAGTGGTTCAGGACAAACGTCCTATGGCAGCAAAAAATCACACGGAAAAAGAAGCCTAAACAGAATGGGCCCCAGACCACACCGCCTCTAGCTTACAATCGCAAGCTTAGAGTCGGTAGTCAGAATGTGCAAGGTATGGCTGATACCCTCAAGCTCAAAAATCTGTTGCTTATGATGAAGGAACACAATCTGGATGTCATGTTCCTATCAGAAACTAAATCGACTTCGTATTACTCCTATACCTCAGAGCAACACTTAGTCGTTTTGTCTGGTAATAACAAAGATAAGCACTCTGGGGTAGGGGTTATAGTGAGTCCAGGCATCCGACCACACCTTGCTGACATAGTCCAGGTCAACAATAGGCTTATTCATATCATACTCAACAAGAGGGGAGGTAGGATACACTTGTTAGGAGCGTATGCGCCACATTCAGGTCATGATCATGACACAGTCCGGCAACCGTTCTGGGAATCCCTAGAGGAATATGTGGCGAAAATACCCCAACCAGAACCAGTGTATCTTACGGGTGATTTTAATGTTCGGTTTCAAGCACAACACAAACATGATGAGGGCGTTACAGGGCCATTCACATACGGAAAGGGTTCGCAAGCTATCGACCACACCGCCCAATCCAACCGCTCGTTGTGCGTTCGAACAATGCTTCTTCTAGATATGCTGGAGGTCGCCTCATACAAAACACCCAACCCAGTTCACCACATCACTTTCCGGGATAAAACAGCCCCCCCAAAGGATTGGTCGCAGTACGTCTTGGATCCTTTGATCATGCAGCAGGTGTATTCAGAGCTACATAGAGTGATGCCATCACAATCCTTGGAAGTAGCAGCCAGAATACGCAGCTTCTTACCGCTGGCGCAACCTCTTCCTCCGCCCCGAGTAGACCCCTCACCCGACCCCGTTCGTTTTCAGCGGCTAGACCACACCTTCACTAGGAGACAATGGCTTTCATCCGTTAACTCATGTAGATCTAAATTGCATACAGGGTACCCGTCAGACCATTACCTCCTGGTAACGGAAGTGCAGGTTAAGCTGGCACGTAGAGACCCCCCACCACCAAAGCCCCCAGAATTTGACTTCTCTCGAGTAAGCATTGATCAAAGACTGGCTTATAACACACAAATTCGGGGCTCCCCGCAAAATAGCTATAAGGATGGGTCTTCTGACCCTGATCACACCGCCAGAATGAGCTTCTACACGGACGGCTCGGGAACAGGGGGACGATGCACAAAAACAACACCAGCGGGCTGGGGATGGTGTACCAAGCAACACGGGGAGTGGATCACAGCGCGGGGCAGGGTGGAAACTGACCACACCGCCAGATTTTACTACGGGGCCCAGGTCGGTTCTAACAACACTGGGGAGCTTACAGCTATTATAGAGGCGCTAATATACGCCTTGGAGCAAGGGTGCGGTAGAGTAGATATATACTCGGACAGCCAGTGGGCCATCAATGTCATCACGGGCAGGTGGCGTGCAAAATCACATAAAACACTAGTTGGCCGTGCACACACACTCTCAACACAAACAGGAATGACAGTCTCGTTCCATTGGGTCAAGGCGCACGCAGGCACAGAAGGTAACGAAAAAGCGGATGCACTCGCCAACGCTGGGCGTACACAGGGGCGCAACGGCGGAAGTAACAGGGTCCCCCCGGATACTCCGCCCCAGGACCACACCCCCACCATGTCTGCGGACACCATGGTGCACGCCATGAAGCAGGCTGCGGCGGACCACTTTCCTTACAAAGAACGACGCGCGCACACACCATGGATCAAAGACCACACCCTACAGCTCCTGGCCCAGGCACGGGCAGCGCAAGCGGAAGGTCACGAAGATTGGAAAACGCAAAGAAACAAAGCCAAGAGGGCCGCGCGCAGGGATAGAATCAATTGGGTTCATGACCAACTATTAGCAGACCCGGATGCCAGTCACTCACCGCTTTGGAATGCAGTTCGCCGACAGAAAAAAGGTTTCATGGGGAAAAAATCGCATTTAATTGTAAACGGGAAGCCAGTCCCATGGTCAAAATCGCACGCCGCTTTCAGGGATCACCTCGAGGGTTCGCAATGGGCTCCGCCCAACATTCCTGACCACACCGCCGCTAGACGTAGAGCTAAACCGGGATTACGTCCGCAACTCCCTGATGAAGGACGGTTCACTTTGGACGACCTTCAACGGGCCATTCAAAAAAGTAAAGGCGGAAAGGCTCCAGGACCGGACCAGGCGAGGAACGAGCTGTTTATGCTATTAGACAGAGAAGGAGAAGCAGCGCTCTTGAGTATCTACAACAAATGTTGGGAGGAAGGCGACATCCCGGGACCATGGGCCGAAGCAATAGTAGTGTCAATATATAAGGGTAAAGGTCTAGACACCGACGTCACCAACTATCGACCCATTTCTTTACTTAACACCATTTACAAAATATACGCTGCTATGCTGCAACACCGCCTCGCAAAATCAAGTGAGCATTTCCTTCGAAGCCGACAATACGGTTTTCGAGAAGGTAGAGGCACACAACAGCCCATATTTGTTTTACGCCGCGCCATGGAGTGGGCGGAAATGACAAATAAACCACTACAACTATTATTCCTAGACTGGAAGCAGGCCTTTGACTCACTCGACCACACCGCCATGCTCGAAGCGTTGCGCCGTTTCGGTGTTTCAGAACTTATGCTCAAGACAATACAGGCTATATATCAGTCTCCAACCTTTTACACCAGAGGACCCGATCACACCGCCGCAGCAGGCTCTGTACACTCAGGTATTAGGCAAGGATGTCCCCTAAGCCCATATCTATTTATTATAGTACTCACAGTCATGCTTGCGGATGTTGATAACGACTTACTACTCCAAGGCACGCCCACCAATACCTGGTCAGAAGGCTATCCAACGTTCGATTTAGAGTACGCGGATGACACATTGTTGTTAGCTTTGACCACACCGCAGATGCAGGACATTCTCACATCATTAGAGTCAGTAGCACATGAATACGGTATGCACCTAAATAAAACCAAGACTGAGCTCCTAATCAATCCCGATCGCCCCTCCTCTCCGCTGTACTTTACGGACGGCGCGGCCGTCCCGACCACACCGCAAATCAATTATTTAGGCACCAGGATCACATGGAAAAAACCCTTTGACGCCGCATTCTTACATAGAGCAGCTATAGCCGAGGAAGCATTTAAGAAGCTCCGCTTAGTATGGAACAGTAGCCTTTCACAGGCGGTACGATTACGTATTTTCCAGTCTACCTTCACGCCCACACTTATTTACGCGTTGGATACCCTCACTCTTACGCAAAAACAACTAGACAGGGTGGATGCTTTCTTCATTCGGTTCCTAAGAAGAGTGGTTCGCGTAAAAGCATCCTACTACTCCCGCATCCCAAACACGGAAGTTATGCGCAAAGCAGGATATCCAACCCTACCATCTACACACATCCTCAACGCCCAGCATAAAACCCTTAAACAAGTATTTATGGCCCCCAGAACGGAACCAACACATAGTGTGGTTTTTACAGCTGCCTTTAAGGATCGTATTCTAGCACAAGGAAGACGTCGCGGAATGCAGATACCATACTGGTTAGAAGTCCTCACTAAAAGATTTTATCCGCAATATTGGGATCCTGACCACACCGCCCGTACCCGCACCCTAGGCCCACACTTCAAGTATGTCGAAATAGCTAGGGTCATTCGGGAGTCAGACAGTTCCGGGAGGGCGCCAAAGCGCGCAGCTGCATCGCGCGCACGGCCCTGACAAAAAAAAAACCCTACATCCCAAAAGCCGAAATCCTAAACCCTAAACCCTAAACCCCAAAACCGAAATCCTAGACCCTCTCCTTCCCTAAATCTGCGGGGCTCTGCAGCCGAGGGGCCACAAAGCGCCGGCTGCCCGAGACCAGGATGTCATTGTAGAGCTGCCGATACCTCAGCTGGGGTTTGTTTAGGGTTTCGGGTTTAGGCAGTTTAGGGGGTTTAGAGTTTCGGGTTTAGGGTTTGGGGTTTAGGGTTTAGGGTTTGGGTTTAGGTTTCGGGTTTACGGTTTCGGGTTTGGGGTTTAGGGTTTAGGGTTTAGGGTGATTCAGTGTGCGGGTTTAGGGTTTAGGGTTTAGGGTTTAGGCTTTAGGGTTTAGGGTTTAGGGTTTAGGGTTTCGGGTTTACAGTTTAGGGTTTGGGGTTTGGGGTTTGGGGTTTCGGGCTGCGGGCTTCAGGTTTAGGGTTTCGGGTTTAGGGTTTAGGTTGTAGGGTTTCGGGCTTAGGGTTTCGGGTTTGGGGTTTAGGGTTTAGCGTTTCGGGTTTCGGGTTTAGGGTTTTGGGTTTCGGGTACGACCCTAACAACTGTTCTCAAAATCAAGGTGGCGTCCCCCACCGCACCCCCAAAACCCTTGAGACCCATCTCTCTTACCTCTCAGATTTGGCCTGGGCGGCCTGGGCCCCTTAAAAAACCCCCAAACCCTAAACCCGAAACCCCAAATCCTAAACCGAAAGACCTCTGGGCACCCTAAACGTCCCAAACACCCGAAGGCAAATCGCCAAGAGACACCCGGG